ATTTCCTTCTATACTTTTTAGCACGTAGCTATTTATTATTAGCATTATTCTTCCGACGTTTGATTTCTTTTTAATTATAGGAAATGCGTTTTTCTAAGGTACATAAACTTTTGGGATCGACTGTATAGCCAATACATCCTTAAACCAGGGTTCTGAAAATTCTCAACGATACTGGCAACGTTAGGAACAATTGGAAGATTACCGAATTATCATTTAGCGCACGTGTCGACGATAGAAATTTCACGGGCTGCAAACTCGCATTAAAACGAAAATATTGCCGACGGCTGGATGGAATAGCGATAGTGCGTTCAGATAAAACGGATTCAATTCTGATATCTTATAAACCAGTCAGATCCTGAGACTTGATAATAGGAGCAATGAAAATAGGTCGATGGGAGGAATATTCATTGAATGGACGCTCGTGGAAACCGCGTGGAGATGTCCGCGTCGCGGAAAAGAGAGCGTACAAGCTGTAACCGACGTTCTCTCCGTAGAGATGCATATGTTCCAGACTTTTTCTAGGAGAAGCACAGGTCATTACAGAATCCTTACTCCTTCTCTCTCGCCCCATTTCCTTCTTTAACTTTTACGATCATACGGTTTCATAAAAAGGAAGTTCATCTTCTCCGCGCCTCCGGCCGGCTTTGTGCAACGCGGAAACGCACGCGAAATCGTTATTTTCCCAGTACGTACGCAGTACCCTAGTGAATTCGAAAAAAGTTTCACGGAAGTTGCTTGAACTTTTCATCTCGAACTCTTTTCAAACAGCGAAAAATCTGACCTGGTTCCCGGCAGCACATGACTACTGTACAGCTCGAATTAGAGTAATTGCAGCGTTTGTAATCGCATGAAACACAGATAAAACGAGACCGAGTTCGACCGGCCCGATTTCACCGTACGAGCTACACCGGACTGAGCTCTACGAGCAAGTAGTTCAATTCGAGATTGAATAAACGCTCGCGTTTAGGAGCCTCGCATAGAAGGACGTGAATAGATGTTCGAACTTCGGGCTGAGTGGCGAGTAGTAAACATTATTACTCCTGAAATAGGAACTCAGTAAGTGGCAGTAAAAACTGGATTATTTTATGTTACCGAACTCCCGCGGTACGCGCGAGCGAACCTACGAAATCCGTAAAAAAGTTTGACGGATTCGCCGGCATTATTTTCACACGTGTGACGTTAATCCGATTATGAGATCGACACCGTCAGACCCGGGGTATCATCCACTGAATATTATTTACCCGTAATAAAATGGAAAAATCATGAAAACGCAATAAGAGCCCGCGAATTCCCCTCGGTCAGCGTTTGACATCTGATATCCGATAACGATATTACTTTCCTCGGACTACCGCCGATTCTCAGCGGCAATTTCTACGATACGGACAAAGTAGAGTGGCCTTTATCGTTGTAATATCTGGGAGCCGCGTGTCCGTCGCGGAACGGACGGAAACCGTCGTCGTAACTTTTCCCTTACTTTATACTTTTTCCCTATTCGTCGGCCCTTTCATCTTCCCCTCCCGCGGCGGAGTAGCAATTTTTATTTAATCAACTTCCTCGAAGGCAACGTTCATTGTGTCGAACCGCGTCGAGCACCCCTCCCGATACGACGACGGTTAAGGCGATTTAGCTAGGAGAGGGCGTCGGGAAATTATCAGGAAGGGTCGATCGAACTCACTCGAATTTGAATTGGAAGGACTTGGGGGAGAACGTTCCTTCGGAAATAGCTTTGAAGTGGAACCCGATATCAATACCGCATCGAACTGGCCATCAATTAGTCACTCTATTTCTTTTGACAAAACTGTAAACACGCCATCGCACAGTATCGCATATGGCGCACCGTCGACTGTGATACATCGATTGATATCGAAACGTTGGAAAAGTTCATCGGAATCTTAAACGAAAACAGTCGCGGTATCTCTGATTCGGTTGATGAGATTGGCTCGGCTCGCTAAAACCGGAGTACAAACGTTAGCAAAAAAAAAGTGCCGTATCGATCGGTCGGATAAATTTTTTTTGTGTCGCGTTAGTGCCGCTACGGGGAATTGTTTCGCGACGTGGGGAATAGAAACGCGGCGCGCGATAGCTACCTGCGCCGGACGCCAGCGACAGGCGTAAAATACGTTGCTGCGGGCGCGAAACTTTTAACCAAATTGGAACACCGTTCTATAAAATTTATTATTTTTTTTTTTTGTCATACGAAAATGCCTTTGCGTCGTCGTCTCGCGTACCGTTTTCAATTTATAAAGAAATGATCGTGAAGTTGTATTTAATTAATTGACAGGAAGCCGTTCCTGGAAAACAAGTGCAGATAACGTTTTTAAATTCGTTTTCATTGTACGCGTTTAAATGACGGAGGGTGCACGGAGGAGCTGTCGATACCGATGCAACGACGATTCATTGAATCAGAAGCTTCAGAAATGTTTCCATTGACGTCGATTACCCGGACTAAACGTCAATGATAAAAAAGAAAAAGTGTGTCGCCAACTACGAAGCTACATTCATATCTATATTATACCTCGCAGAACGTTCTATTCACTTCGAAACGACCTAGTTTTCATTACGTAACAGTGAGCTACGCGGCGTCCGGTTGATCATTAGACTCCTAAACAAAGATGCCTCAAGATTTTTAAATTATGTAATGATCCTCATGATTCTCGTTATCGCATAAACCCTTTCGCTACGTGCCTGGTGTCTCCGACGGTACAGAATTTGTGATAAAAAGAAGCAACCGGGTAAAAACGGTGGACAGAAGGAAAATCGACAACGACGCCAGTTATGATACCTGCTGGGATCGACTCGCGGTTGGAAGTGTGCCAGTCTCGGGGACACGAGACCGATTACCAGAAACGACGGTCCGTCCTTACGACGAGTGACCAGATTGCAACTGCGTCCTATCGAACATATAGAGAAAATTGCTATCGCGACACGACTCGATAGTTCTTGCCCGTCGTCCGCTTCGACCCATTGTCCTCACGCTGAACTAATGGATATCGCGTCTCCGAGGATAATCGTCTTGATGATTTTACAAAATCTATTGAACTAAATTTCTGATGCATTTTTACGTGAACTGAGATCGCGAGGGGTTAACGACGCGTGACGAGCTAGAAAAGCTCTGTCGTCGACGACCCCTCGTTTTCCCGGGTAAAATTATCATAGATCCCAGGAATCTTCTTTGGTCCCCGGATCAACTTTCTTATTCTCCGCGGTCTAATGTGCCGGGCAATTAAGAGGTCGCGATAAGATTATACAATGGTAACCGTAAACGCGTTGAAAACGAGGAGGACGAGTGTTTTAGACGGGATTAACGAGAACCGGGTCAACGGTAAATCACCAGAAGGAAACAATTCCGACGGAAAAAACGATGGATCGCGCGCGCGTACACTCTGACACGCACGCGAAAATGTGGAGTGTTTTCCTCTTCATTTGCTCGTAGCAGTTTCCCACACCGGAGGTAGAAAAAGAGAAATATAATTTAATTCCGGTGAAACCGTAGTTTATTTCACTGTTTCGCGAGAAGTTTTATTAAACCCGTACCCCGGAACGGGGACGAAAAAAAACCGAGCGGAAAATATGTAGTTTGGCGGTAACCGACGCAAATGCATAATTACCGTGTAAGGTGAATTACGGAGTAATCAATTTTTTAATACTAACGAGAGCATTAATAATAAGGACGAAGGGAACGAGCTACGTCGACCTGCGTATTCCTTTTTCGACGACGACTGCGACGTTCGTTTACTGGGACGATAAATCAGTTTTCCTTCGGAGGGAAGAATTCGTATCCGCGAGGCTCGCGGCTCGTCGATCATGAAAATCGATTCTGAAAAGCTTGTACCGCTACGAAAAGCAAATCTCCGGTCATTTTCGAGGCCCGAATCGAACAAACGAACAACTCGCGGAACACGTAACGATGGACGAGCCCGGAGGGGAAATAAACCAACGAAACAAAATTCACGGTCGGGCGAAAAATGGTAGGAAAAGCCAATTCGCGTCGGGGAGTATCTCCCCGGTAAAATTGTCCACGGGAAATTGAAATCATGCAAATGCGCGAGGGAAATAAATTAAAAACGTACATGTACGTCGTGCCACCGTCGAGTGGCAGGTAAATTGGAAGGGCGCGATCTTAAAGTTTCACATCCATTTCCCGTACCTGATGCGAAATTATCTTGTCCGATTTCTGGAGGACGACTGTCACGGAACGGGACGACCTTGCGAATCTAAAATTATTTTCATTAAACTTCTCAAGTCTATATCCTCCATGGGATCGTTTATCGTGATTGTGTGATTCGATCATGGTTTCAGGTACTGGACAACGACCGGTGGCCAGACGGTGACCGAGCTCCCGCGGGACAACAAGGCGGCGATCATGGACAGCATCGCGTCCTCGTACGCGTTGCAGAGGCCGAGATTCACCGCGACGCCGCCGCCGAAGATATCGAGATACGACGGGAGAACCGGCTGGCCTTACTATCAAAAGTACAAACAGACGGCGGAGGCGCAAAAGGCCCAGATATTCGAAGACATACAGAGAAAGATGGCGAACACGACCAGCGGGAACAGTATCGGGCACTCGTGGAATTCCACGGACGCGGCAGCTCAACGCCAGCACAGGCTCAGAATGAAACACCATCGACTGACGTCCAAAGGAAAACGTCTGAGAACGCGTGAGTACTTTTTCTACCCTTTTACGTTTATAAACTATTTTGTAACGTTCGAGAATAGAATCCTCTGACATTTGTCGAATTTAGAAATATATTAACACTTTATCGACCGGTAGCCTATTTTTCGGCTTTTCGATTGCCAACGCTTATCGACTGGTAGCCTATTAATCAACTTTTAACTATCGACGGTTTTCGTACAGTGGGTTGTTGTTGATTTTGTTTTTATAATTACGCGACATCTACGTCGTTAATTTACTATTCTCGCAGTAGCTGTATACTAACCACTCCATATCTTTATCAATTATAATATTTTTTTACCGTTTCTAATGGATAAAGACTGTGCAGATGAAGAGTTTTGCTTAGAATAAACCAGTACTTACTAAACCTTACTTAGTGGCAGCCTCAACCACGACCGGTCGATAAAGTGTTAAAATACATGTTGCGGGTGTCGAGTTTGAGGAGTGATGAATGCTACTTGTTTTTACTGAATCTCGAGTCACGCGGAACTCCGTGGTTGCAGGACCTCCGAGGGACTGCAAAGTGGGCGAATGGGGGGCATGGAGCGCGTGCAGTCGTAGCTGCGGCGTCGGAGAGACGCAGAGAACGCGGAAGATCATTGTAAAGCCGCGCCGCGGTGGGACACCGTGTCCACCGTTAAAGGGGACCAAGTGGTGCGGCAGCGCGAGCCCGTGCTTCGACGGTAAATCCATCGTGGACAGCTATCAATGGTAGTCCCGCGATCGCCGATGCCCGAGACGATCCCCGTGAGCGACGAGAGGCCGTCGAACCGAGAACTATACGTATTTACCGAAAACGATCTGCGGGAGGAGACGATCCGTGGGAGACCCGACGGGTCTCTGGAACAGCGGCTGGGTCGTAATTAGTGGCCCGCTAGATTGCGTCAATAACGTTATCGTAGTCGTAGCACCAAAGATTTCGCACGGGCGGTGACATATCGGCGTCGCGTTAATCGATGGGCGATCGCTCGAGTTCCTGTTTGAGGTTTCCTATACGAAGCCGATTACGAAGACTAAAAACGTTACTTTGAAACATTTACAACTTCCGCTTTACTTCACTTCTATTCCTGAATTCCCGTTGAATATAGATTTATGTCCAGCGACAGCTTATATTCGGTCGATCGGCGAGCTTTCAGCTCGATACGAAGGAAAACCCAGCGGTGGTAGTTTATAAAAAAAAAAATATCATTCCGAGCCTTTGGCCTACAAATCGAGTTTTCCCTTTTTCGCGTTTCAACTCGTTCGTGTTCGACAAGTCACTTGAAATTGAATCCACATATTTTCTGGTAAAGTGTTTGGAAAACTCCAGTGAAAAGGCGAGGTACAGGGGGCACGGTACAAAAATGCAACACGAACGAGTTAAGAGGGATCGTTCGGGTGCATAGAATGCCGCTTAATTTTCGAGAGGACGGAGAACTTCTGAATGGGTAGACCCTCGATCGATCGCCCGTCGGATCCGCGTTTTTCTGCGCGATATTCCCCCTTAGCCTCGATCCGGCACGGAAAATTCGCCGATCGGATCGGGCTTATTTCCCGGCTTAACTTTCGCTGGCATCGCCGTCACCCGGCGGCACATAGAAAACTTGTCCGCCTTTACGAATTTTCGTCGACGGCTCACAACCAACCAGTACGAACGGACGACGCGTCGATCATCCGTGCGATCGGAAAAACGAAGATAAAGGCTGTCGCGAAATTCCACGAGAATTCGTGCCGGTTCTCGCGGATTATCCAGCCGGGATAAAGCGAATTCCCGTACAAGATCCGTTGAGCTGTCCCAGTTCCCACCGTTCCCGGATATCCTGTCGCGAACGATCCGCTCGATCTCGTGGAATTGCCGGAGGACGGAAAAAAGGAGACGAACACGGTGACGAAAATAGAGTCTTACGTTGGATAAAAAGAAAAAATCGCTACGTCTGTAAATTCGGAAGGGAGAACGAAATTTTCCAGTGAAAGGGAATTAATCACAATCAGGTAGAGGTGCTCTAAACGGAGCCGATGGTCGAAGCTCGGAATTTGTACACGACGATGCATTTCGCTACGGTTCTATTAACCCTTTAACCGAGTACACTCGTCGCTGGAGAGTGGAGCTTGCGTCGTCGTCGCGAACGGCATGCAAGAGTTTATCGATCCACGTCCCTTTTCGATGTTCCTCCCCTAAATAAAAGAAAGATACCGAATGCCTTACCCTCCCTTAAAAAATAATTACGCGATTAAAGGGTTAAAAGTGCCACTCGGAAAGGTTGATATCGGCGCGGAAAGACGACGACTGCCTCGTCGGATTCATGCTAGATCTACGAATAAACGAAGAGAGAGGAGAGGTGAAAACGATTCTAAGAAGATTCGAAAGATCTTTTCCCAGTTGCTTCGATGCTCGTTCTCGTGGCGCGATAGGGAAATTTTTACAAGAAAAATAAAAGGAGAATAAGAAAATATCATCAGGTACGTCTTAGGTGAGTGTATTATATCTTAGGCGTAAATTTAACGATAATAATTAACGACTAACGTTTAATCGTAACTGATTAATTAAAGTATGGTACGAAACCCTGGAAGAGGGCTGCGTGCAACGGCTCGTCCTCCTCTCGCGTTCGCTGTACACGCGTAATATCGCGCTGTTCCGTAACGAGCGAGGAACGTGACTGCAATTATGCTGCTGGCCACGCAGTTTGCGTCGCGGGACACTCTGTCGCGCGTGATCAAGTATCGCATCGAGTAATTAAAACGATCAAAGGGTGGACGGGGGGTCGAAAACGGAAGGGACGCGGCCGACCGCGTACGCTCCGAAAAATCGATACGGTACAAAACGAGTCGAGATCTTCTCGTGTGATTCGCGAGACGAGACGAGATTTCCCGCGCTGGCTCGTTCGATCCAAGCAAAGGAGGGAAGTTACACTCGGTGGATCGTGAAATTCCTCGCGGTATAGAGAATACGCATCCGACAGAAGTGGCGAGGGGGACGAGGGGGCCTTTTCATTTCAACCGGAAAGAAGGACCGAGCCGGGCGCAGTTTTAGCAGCATTAAGGATGAACGTTTTATAAACTAAACGCTCGAGGGGACGCTTTCTTAACGAAAGTTTCAACGACACGGGGAGAGAGAAGGAGTAGCTGTACTTTTGCCTAAGAAATAAAAGCGCGAGATAACAAGGAGGAGAGTGGAGACGTTACCAAAGAAACGCTCGTGTAAATGTGTATCTTATCCTTTCCCTTATTTCCCTCTGCCCGACTCACCCTTTGCATTCCCCCTGGAAACTTTTTCCTTCTCGACCCCCCCCGTAACACCCGTTTCCTCGAATCTTCCGTTGTCCCTAGCCACCCGCGTCATTTTTCTTCCTCTCTGTCTCTAGTCTGTAGAAACGCATAATGCTTCCTCTCTTTCTCTCTTCTTCCCGAGGGCCGCGTGCAAACGAGGACAATGACAAATCAATCTAGAGAGAGGGAGAGATCGATGATGGGAATGAAGGTGAACGATTTCTGTACAAGTCACTGTGCATTCTAGCCTCTAAGGACCTTAGCCGATAGGAATTTAGCCGTTAAGCAAGAACATGTAGCAATGTATAACACATAAGTTTATATTACATAATAAAATCTGTCGATAAAATCCGTTCGAACGATATTTTTCACTTGTGACGTATGATGAATGGTATTCGTATCTTAATAAAGTAGCTGTTATTTCAGGAAACGGTCGTACGCTTTTCCTATCCCCCACACATGTGATTAATGTCATAAACGGTACTTCTAATTATTGTAGATCGCGTGTCTACGTATAGGCATTGCCTTACGAAAAATCAGCAAGCGGAACGTCGCGGCCTTTTTGTTAACGATCCGATCCCTCTTCCCCGACAATATTAATAATCGTCCCAACGGAGCAATTCCGGTAGCCGGAGGGTCGGCAGCGTTGGTTGTTATCACGCAACATTACCCGAAAATAAAGGACGCCGTGCGGTTTGCCAGTACGAGGGACAGGTAGCCGGAATACAATACCTAGAAGGCGCACGATCTCGGGATAAGAGAGAGAAGCCACCCTTCGCTTCGACCCCTCGAGAGGACGAGACCGAGTGCAATGATGCTGCACGAACTCCGCCCTCTCTTTTCATCTTCCCTCTGGACCGTCTCCGTCTCCCTTCGCCGCGCCTATATCGCGTTAATGTTCTTCCACTTTTTCTGTAACTCTTTTCCTCACTGTTGCGAACGTAACGTTTGCTCCTTCAGCTGGAAAGCGAAATTAATCGAGACCGCCGGCAAGAGTTCAACAGCGAAACGGATTTCGCGGGGACGTTTCTCAAATTAAGAACTGCAATAGAAGCGTTTTTTGTAACAGGAAATAGTAACGAATTACAAGAGGGAAATACGAGAGTAAATGCAAACGTCTCTCACTTATTTTTAAGTGATTAACGAACGTAACGGTGGAATGCTTAAAAAAAAAGTTTTCCCGAGTTGATTAAAATTGTGCTGCGAGCCTGGGTTTCGCTCGTCAAATTCCATTGAATCCGCGGAGCATTGTTCGGCGCCGAGTAGCGAAGGAGAAGTTCCGAACTCGACACAAGTGCAAATGTTTAAACGAGAGAAATCAAAGGACCAAGTGGAATGTCTTCTGGCTTGTTAGACCAGCCCTCGACGCGTAAACGTCGCTCCAGACCAGAGACGGCCTCGTTCCACCTGACGGCGCGGTTCGAACGCTCGGCCCGCGGATTAATTATATTAACGTTTTAATTAATCGAGCCTGGACTCCGGGCAAAGAGAAATAAAGACTGACGTCCCACAATTCCCGAGAGTGATAACAGGCTGGAAACATCGACTGAAACGAAGCTTCTCTCGTTAGCTTGTTTATCTTACTTTCGTCGATCTTTCGCGGAGAGATAAACGTAGCTTTATTAGAGGAACTTAAAGAAAATAGACGTGAGCACTCCGGAAACTTTGCCGCTTCTGCTGCTTCTTCTTCTTCTTCTTCTTCTTCCCGACGTTCTATGTAGTCTGGGATTTAACCGGACTTGCAGCTCTTCAAAACGTTAATGAAACGGAAACACTGTATAATGATGATAGTAAAGAAACATCTTCACTCGCAGAGAACTAAGATTAATTAGCCTTCCGATCCGCGGTTCATGCTTTGTCACCGGAACGTTGAAATCATTACCGAGCCTCGTTTCTACGAGATCCGTCCCTCGAAACGATCCGGGACCAGTCGAGCCTTGTAACACCCGACGCCAGACGCGTTATACGAGCAATTAATACGATCGTTCCCGGTCCTATCGGTGTCCGTGCACGTATTTTCTAACGGAAGAGACCGGTGTAACCGCGATTCAAATGAAAGGTAATTGAGCGTGAAGAGACCGGCGACGATAATGGTGGAAAACGTACAAGGCGGATCTGGTCGTGCGGAAGATCCTGGGGTAGCCCGGTGTAATTGAGATATTGTCAGCGAGACACGTGCGGGGACCGAGTGCTCCGGTCGGTTCATAAAATTAATAACCCATAAATCCGGGGGAATATCGGCGGGAAAATTGCCGGAACATATATTACAGCTACTGTGCCGAAGATCCGCCCCTCCCCCGTCCTGTCCCCAGCATACCACCGGGTCGAGTCTCGTTCCTGAAATTAGATCTCGCTACACGTACGAAAATATTTATATGAATTTTCTGCCGACAATTATGTTATCTAACAGTACGAAGCTCGGTGTTCGACCGATATCATTTTTCTAAGTACATCTTGTATCCCCGGAGGAACGAGAGTAAGTCCGTTCGAGAGGAGTAACGAAGTTATCAGCGGGATTGTAAATGACACGGATATATCGGTTCGTCCTACTTGGGACGAGCGGAAGGAACGGTGAGAATCAATGTTTGGTCTACAAACAGGGGCGCGCTACACGGCTGCGTTCCTCCCGGTGCTCTCCAGGTCTGCGTGCATCTGTTACGATCACATTGTTCTAAACAATGCCCAGAGGTCTCGCCGCTCTCAATCAGACGGTGTGTAACTATCCGACAGGGTTACTTCCTGCCCTCCCGAGTCTCTTCCTCCTCCGACCATCCGCCTCGAGGCCCTCCAGACCTTCCAGCGATGTTCTCGTGCCAGGGAAACCGCTACAATGTTTATCCAACAACGAAAATCTGATCTTACCAAAGTGGAACGCCCTCGCGCTAGTAGCATAACCCTTTCGCTGATCCGACACATCCGTTAAGATTCAGGGACAGGGCTGCGAACTAATACGTTACAGAAGTGTACGATCGGACATTGTTCCGAACGAGGAAATGTTTGCATAAATACCTGCGATTAGGATTTATTCGAGAGACGACAGAAAAGTTCGTGGTGATGTCCCTTGGAGATCTCGGGAGGCTCGTAGTAAATTCCTCGGTCTACGCTACATCCAATCACTTAGCGAATCTTAGTGGATGCTTTGGATCCTAGTCACGAACCCGTATACTGCGCGTAGCTGCTCTCGATACTCCTGAACGAGATAGAAAAGCATAGACGTGGAAAAGATAGTTAATGAAGTTGTCCGATCTGCACGTTTCGTCTACAAACGAATAAACGGTTTAATAATATTTTGACGTACTGCAACGTGAAAGGTTCATCGAGGTCCATAATGAACCGAGGGTAAATGTAGTTGAACGTGGGACAAAGTTTCCCGTATTTAGAGAAGCAGCCGAGCTAATGTTTTCTAACAATAATGCCGACGTCGGGTTTTGGCAACTGTTAAAACGACACCGAGCATCAAATTCGCGTGACCCAGAGCTACTCGTTCCTGCGGGATCGTTAGCACACACGACCGGCGACTCGTTGACGTTTCCCGATGCATTTACACGGTCCGGTATCTTCCCGTCCTGTTCCCTCGCATTGTTTCGTTGCTCGGAGCTGAGTCAACAACTAACAATAAGTCAAATATTCCGGCACTGTCGCCTGCTACCTGTTCACTTGTTCACCGACTTTGCATTCCGTGGATTCGTTCGCGGATGACTTTCGAGATTAAACGAGCCGGGGTCAGAAACTCGCGGATGGAATTACGAGAAAGCGAAGAACCCGGAGGTAGATTTCATAACATTTAATCGGAATTTGAGCGAGGAATTCGAGGAGGAATGAAGCTGCGCTCGATCCTTAAGGAACCACTGGGAATATTTAAAATTCGATGCGAAATGAGGCGGGCGACCGAAACGTTAACTACAGAAACAGGACGTGACGCAAATCGAACGGTCTCCAAATATTTGCTTCCGTCGTTCGAAGAAACCAATCGATCGCACCCGGAAATCTCGCGCGAACCATCGCCCTCGGTAAACTCGCGTTCATTCCTCGCGTTTACAAAAATGTTCCCCGGGCGTAAGTGTTGCGAGAACGTGAGCATGCGAAATGCATAAAATACTCGGCGATCGTAAACAGTTCAAAAACGTTCTCCGTCTACGCGACGTACACGGTTGCCCGTTGAATAACATTTCGCGAATACGCGGAGCCCCGCGTCCCATGTAGCACCCGGTGAATTAATTCGCTGATCGAACGAAAGTAATATCACGAGGTTACGCCGTGAATAACGAACCTGTACGCAGTGGCGCGTGCTCCGACTGAAACACACTCGATTTAACTTTTAATTAATGGATTCGTTAAGGTAATTGAGTCGGGCCGCGGTGTAACTTTTAGCGCAGAGATTAGGCGTAACTTTCCCGGCCCCGCGTTTCGAATCCCTCGTGAAGTATTTAACGATTTCTACTAGTAGAGGCGAGAGACGAACGATTCTCTTTTTCCGGGCGTAATAAATTTTCAGCAAAACAGGAGGAGAACACGTGAAAGTGGGATTCATGGCCGGGTCTCCTGGCGAGGTGATCAATACGTCGCGTCGGTGGCGCAGGATCGACGGGAACTCGTCGAATCCGCAGGCACCGCGGATGAGTAAACGACAAAGGCTTTGTCCTGTGCATCGCTCGAAAGAGAAAATCGAAAGTGTAATAGGTCCTCCGGGATGCACAGAGGCTCGTGTGCAGCCTGTCTAGCCCAGCCCAACTGCATTAATGCGGGCACGATCAGCGAAAAACTGAATATCAGAATTCTTCTATATTTCTCTTTTATCTCGGCACCGAGACCAAGTACGTGGTCGCGTCATGGCACTCGGCTATCATATCATAAACTGAGTTTGATTAATTTGATACTAAAACAATTTGGAGGATAAATAACGATATTCCCTGCAGGATGATAAATCCCCGTCTCCCTTTCGTTTCCATAACCCCCGAAACTGTTAATCAACGCGATCTACAGAGTCGGGGGGGGGGGGGATGGAAGGAAAGGAAAACGAAAGTGAACAACGAACGGTGACACACGGTGGAAGGAGAGAAAGCGTGGCCGGAAATGAAATCGAAATTATTTTTCCCTCTTTCGCTTTCTCCCCTTTTCTTCGGCGGGGATCGAACGGCTGGAAAATAGCATGGAACGAAAAAACAGCGGACGAGAACGAAAGCCGAAAAAAACGGAAAGGGGGTACAAAAACGACGGGTCGAGAGGGTGAAACGTTAACGGGTCCCCGGGTTTTTTCTCCTCTTCGAACGGGTAACAACGCGTCGCGTAAACCACTCGGTCGACGGTTTATTCGCGGCGTCACTCGACGTCGCATACCATCAGCGTTCTCGCCTAACCGGCCGGTCGCGCGCCGCAGTCGCGAAACCGAGCCAAATAGCGCGTACACGCTTGCTCGTGAATACGCGGCTGCGGGCTATAACGTCCCATAAAGATGCAAATAGCCGATTGCCTCTCGAAATGAGAAGTATCAAGGGAGACCGGTTAGATCTTCCACCTACGCTGCAACCGAAGCGAGAACTACTTCCCGGCTCGACGGAGGGTTTGATCGATCGCACGGATAACCACGGCTAAAGCATTGTTATCTCGAGCTTTTAGCCCAGGTGCGTTGCTACGTCGTTACGAGTTTTCCACGAGCACGTTCCTAAATGTCGTCTCTCCGCTCGTGCAAATGTTTGCTTCGCCGCTGACGCGAGTACACGCGTACGAATCGACGGATACAGGACTGAGAAATTACGACCAGGGTCGCAGGGAAATATGTTTAAAGAACATTGAGACATACGAATCTGTTCGAGCTTTGCACACGTTTTAATCGGTTCGCCTGTTTCACGGATACTCAATTAATCTTTGCCACGATAGATACCAGTCTTGTTACACGCTTCGATGTGCAAGCATTGTCTCTAGACAAACTACCCTGGGAATACTGATAACGACACCGATTCTCCGCTAATTGCTAGTGTAATTAAGTGATCGCGGAGCAGCCGTTCGCTGGCGAAAGGAAATTTCTCGGGGAGAGATGACAGGTCGGGAGATAACCGCGATTAAATGAATTCCAGTGATTACGACGGGACCATTCTTTCCTGGCCACCGGTACACGCAGTATCCAGGTCACGTAAACAAACTTTCATTCTGGTAATTGCACGGGATATAGTTCGAGCCCATCCCCTGTATTATCGGGTACGTTGTTAACGCGATATCGACACCGTTGGAAATGTAACGAAGAAGAATGGCAACGTGTATCTAACCAGGGAACGAACGAACGCACGAATAAAACAAAATGACGGACGTGCTAAATAAGTGAATGTCACGTTTCATTAAATGAAGTCAACAGTTTAATACTAGATCTACTAAGGAGAGTCAAAATGACTCGTTCGGCATTTCTTATAATCGTTATTCATTTTCAGTAAACTCTGTTTTCTAAAATTTTGCATGACTTTTTCTAAAATAAGCAATAATTCTGTAAAACAGTTTTCTTTTTTTTGTCTTTTTGATGTAAA